TCGAATCAAGCTAATTTTTTTCATGAATGATATGTATAAAAGACCCTACAAAATAAACAGTTCAAATTATCGAAACAGGACATATGGTGTGCCCCACAAATCTAAGCATAACGGTCATATTCATATTTAAACATGAAAAAGAAGTCTAAAATTTTTCGTTATTCGATTTACTTAATTTTTTATATAGATAATTTATGTGACGAATCTTAAAATATTAACCATTCGAAATGTCAAATTTGGTCCCAAAAATAGATCCACTAAAAGGACTAAACAATCCAATCCAGATTTACAAATTGAAAAGTAGTAATCCTCAAAATTTTAAATATAGTTGATGGTAAGTCTCTAAATTTTTTTTTCCCCTTCCTATTCTCTTTATTAAAATGAGGAGAAAGAAACTCCTTTCATTAAATAGCAATAAAGGCCATTAAACAAATTTAGTGCTAATAAATGTTTCTAAAACTCTAGCTAGAACCATTTTCACCACCCACCCATATATACACACCTGTTTTTTTAACAATCCCCTAGTGACCAACACAAGAGAAATCATCATCCTCATCAACCATGGCAAAACTTAGTATAGTTTTTGTGATGCTCCTTATGTACATTAGCATTATTGCAATTGCACCTTCAATGGGAGAAATTGCACCACAACCGGCTGATGATGGTACAGATGCACCGGCAGCTTCCCCCATTGGTGCTTACTTGGAAGATTATGATTTAGCAGTTTCACCCATTGATGCTTACTCGGATGAGAAAGTTGAACTCTCACCCACACCATCTCCAAGCTCTTTCTAAAGATGATTGGGGTTTGGTTTTGTTGATCATGTAACCATATAGTTATAGAGAAAGATACTTGAGTAGGAAATTATATTTGTTATCCATTATTTTGTTTTATTTTCTATGTAAATTCAAGCAATTAATGTGAAAAATAATAGAACCTATTATGTCATATAAAAAGTTAGAGCAATTTCTCTGGATTGACTGTGCAATTTGGTCTGCTAAACAGCCTACCACAAGTCTTCTTATAATGATCTAAATCGCTAATTTTATTGTCATGTATATATTGATCATACATAAAAGAAAAAGAAAAAGAAAAAGAAAAAGAAAAGAAAAGAAAAGAAAAAAAAAGATTGATTTAATAATTATATAAATACATCTTGCATCACATTTATATGCAAAAAATGACAATAAGTATGAGTTTAAAACAAACCATTTATTTAGGATAAATTATGCTAGCAGTCCTTACATTTTGTTTATTATGTCATTTTGGTTCCTATACTTTCACTTGGTTTAATTTTGACCTTTCATTTTAGATTTTGTATCAATTTGATCCAACTGATAATATTGTTAGGATTTTTGACAAAAAATAATCACTAAGTTCATTGAGATCTGCTTATTGAGTTAATCAAGTTTATAAATTTTCTCCTAGAAGCATGACACATGTCATTCATGAGCAAATTTTTTATAAAAAAAATGCTAACAATTATAATCAATTGGATCAAATTGAGACAAAATTATAAATTCATAATCAAAATTGAGCAAATTGAAATTACATAAATCAAAATAACTCAATGACCCAAATATAAGGACTATTAATATAATTAGACTATTTATTTATTTGTTTGCATACAATTTGATGTATGATATATTTATAATTATGATGGGGTATTTTGAAAAGATGGTTAAAAGTCATCTTTTAACTTTTAACTTATTTTGGGTCACATCATGTCAAACATTTTTTACATATTTTTTTTAAAAAAAAAAAACTCAGAAAAAGCCAATAATTCAATTTTTAACCATCTTTCCAAATAAACCCGATATCAATTTGATTTTGATGCCTGACATATACACATAAATTTACAAAATAAATAATTCTCATTATGAAAGTAGAGTCGTGATGAGCTCACCGGGCCAATTGCATGGTCCAATCCACCATTGTAGATGAGGATTTATTTTGTTACAAAAATTAAATCTTGATTTCTTTTAGTTGTAATTTTTCCATTTTTTTATGTATTTTTTTATTAAATGTTGTGGGTGTTGATTTTTGACCATACAATAAAACAGGGAACTCAGCTGGAGAGCACCGGCAAAATAGATTAAACCCGAACAACCTGTCACAGAAAGATAAGAATCCGGCGGTTCGTTTACCCGGGGGGCACTCTAACGATCAAGTCAGTAATCAATATCTCTCAAAGATAGCAAATTGTGCTTAAATTCACACGAAAGCACTTACTGCTCACAGTAGATCACACATACTTCAGACCCACGGGGGTGCCCTGCTTTTATAGCCAGCACTGATGTGATCCTTGTAGAAGCCTGGCTTCGTGAGACTCTGACTCAATGCTTATCTTGGACCCTCAGCTAGATAGAGATAAACTCTCTTTGAGCCTTACCTTTATCCGGGCTGAGATCCTCCCATGTTCTAGGACTCTTGTCCTTTATCCGCTTATCTCGGATTCCAACATCTTCGCAAATAACCTCGGCCTAGACGAGATCATCTTGGCTGTTCGACCAAGCGACGTGGCACCTCGGCATCACCTTAGTCACGAGCTGCTACTCACAAAATATGTCCCCACAAATGTATTAAGGTATTTAAATAAGAATGCTGCTATTAGCACCCCCTAAATTATTTTAGACCTTCCAATTTTTAGATTTTTTTTATTACAATAATAACTTCAAATAAATTACTACGAAGGACATCATTAATTTTGGGACACTCTATCTCACAATTGAACTTATACACCCACTACATCATGAATTAGAGTTTATGAGAGCACCCACCTCCATCTTCTCCAAATCCCACCTTCAGAACCTACCCACCTTCAAAACCTTAAAAATCCTTTAGTGGCAATATTCTGACAGTAACGGTGGTAACCATTTGATTACCTTCACTTCTTCGGCAATGACAATGAGTGGAAGTTTTTCTAATAACCACAACTCCATAAGATGAGAGGAGTACAACAATAAAAGTTTAGAGGAAGTTCATCGCTTTGATGTTGTTCTTATCTTAGAGGAGATTGGTCTTGTAAAGGTAAGTTTCTTGAGAAAAAAAATGCCAAAGTAATAAAATATGTTCGTCATTTTTTCAGGACTGAATTCCCGAACATATGACCGAAATTCAAGAACACAAGCTCGAACATTGTTTATTTGTTCAGGAACAAATAACCGAACATTTATTATTTCCTCGAAAATAGGTAACCAAACATTATTCATAGGTTCGGACCTGTTTTACTAAGAAAACTAAACTAATTATTATAATTTTTTTTTCTGTAAGAGAAGATATTTTTATAAGAAAACTACGAAATTATGTGTATATGTATATATATATAGAGAGAGAGAGCATACCAACTATGACAGTGATGGATGAGGTAGCAAAGACAGTAATCATATTGCCTCTTATTTTTCTTCTTCGTAGGCTTCGTTAGGGTTTTTTTGGGGTATGAAGGGTATGCATTCAATGGGTAAAATGTTTTCACAAGGATAGTTTTAGTATTATTTGGGGGGAAATTTTTTTTAAGACTTTCAAAATTTATAAGTGGGGGTCCAAAAAAATAAGAGTTCTAAAATAATTCATAGAGTGCTAATAGCACAATTCTTAAATAAATATTTGAATTTAAAGTATTAAAAAATCTAGTACTAAATCTAGTAATTTGTATTAAAAAATCTAGTACTAAATCTAGTAATTTGTATTAAAAAATCTAGTACTAAATCTAGTAATTTGTATTAAAAAATCTAGTACTAAATCTAGTAATTTGTATTAAAAAATCTAGTACTAAATCTAGTAATTTGTATTAAAAAATCTAGTACTAAATCTAGTAATTTGTATTAAAAAATCTAGTACTAAATCTAGTAATTTGTATTAAAAAATCTAGTACTAAATCTAGTAATTTGTATTAAAAAATCTAGTACTAAATCTAGTAATTTGTATTAAAAAATCTAGTACTAAATCTAGTAATTTGTATTAAAAAATCTAGTACTAAATCTAGTAATTTGTATTAAAAAATCTAGTACTAAATCTAGTAATTTGTATTAAAAAATCTAGTACTAAATCTAGTAATTTGTATTAAAAAATCTAGTACTAAATCTAGTAATTTGTATTAAAAAATCTAGTACTAAATCTAGTAATTTGTATTAAAAAATCTAGTACTAAATCTAGTAATTTGTATTAAAAAATCTAGTACTAAATCTAGTAATTTGTATTAAAAAATCTAGTACTAAATCTAGTAATTTGTATTAAAAAATCTAGTACTAAATCTAGTAATTTGTATTAAAAAATCTAGTACTAAATCTAGTAATTTGTATTAAAAAATCTAGTACTAAATCTAGTAATTTGTATTAAAAAATCTAGTACTAAATCTAGTAATTTGTATTAAAAAATCTAGTACTAAATCTAGTAATTTGTATTAAAAAATCTAGTACTAAATCTAGTAATTTGTATTAAAAAATCTAGTACTAAATCTAGTAATTTGTATTAAAAAATCTAGTACTAAATCTAGTAATTTGTATTAAAAAATCTAGTACTAAATCTAGTAATTTGTATTAAAAAATCTAGTACTAAATCTAGTAATTTGTATTAAAAAATCTAGTACTAAATCTAGTAATTTGTATTAAAAAATCTAGTACTAAATCTAGTAATTTGTATTAAAAAATCTAGTACTAAATCTAGTAATTTGTATTAAAAAATCTAGTACTAAATCTAGTAATTTGTATTAAAAAATCTAGTACTAAATCTAGTAATTTGTATTAAAAAATCTAGTACTAAATCTAGTAATTTGTATTAAAAAATCTAGTACTAAATCTAGTAATTTGTATTAAAAAATCTAGTACTAAATCTAGTAATTTGTATTAAAAAATCTAGTACTAAATCTAGTAATTTTCCCATTTTTGTTTTTTGTTTTTTTTTTGTTGTTATTTTTTAATTTATCATGCAATTAAATAATTTAAAAATAAATATATACATTTTTATAAAACGATGGGCCGGGTCGGGTCACCCACTCCCTCAATCCCTGCCCTGTTATTCTTCGTGTCCATGGAGAGAGAAACCAGAAACAAGTAGACACAGAACTCTATACAATGATACAGAAGCAGATACGAGGGAGCGAGAGAGTAGAGAGAGAGAGCGAGAGAGAGAGAGAGAGAGAGATGGAGCATCAGGAGCAAGAGCAGGAACATGAAGTGTACGGAGGAGATATACCCGATGAAGGAGAGATGGATGCCGATGTCGACATGTCTAGGGCTGAAGACGACGACCTCAACTCAACTCCAAGGTCCTCTCTCTCTCTCTCCCCACTCATATGTAATTTGCCTTAATTTTGATGTTGAATAGGTCGTGGAGGACATGAAGAAGAGACTCAAGGAGATTGAAGAAGAAGCAGGCGCCCTTCGCGAAATGCAATCCAAAGTTGAAAAGGAAATGGGCGCCGTTCAAGGTCCTCTCTCTCTTTCTCTCTGTTCCTGATCGATCTTTGGTTATGCTACTTTTGTATCAACAACAGAGTTGGATGAATTGTTCAATTATAGTTTTTTTGGTTCTCCGCTATGTATTTGGTCAGTGATTAATATGAATTAGCATTAATGATGTTGAGGAAATTGAAATTGAAATTGATGATAAATTGTTCAATATGCAAAGTGTTGTTAACTTACCATTAATGTTGCTACTACACATTTATTGGGTTTTGGAGGTGTGCTCAATGTTACAAGATTCTTAGACAGTGTAATTATGCCTTTATATAACAACTATTGTATAACATGTGGTAAAATCAATTTTTAAATTTTTTTTGCCATATTTGTTCAACATAATTTATTTTATAGTTTAAACTGTTGAATCTAACAATTTTCTATTCAATTTAATTCACGATTCTCAAAATTAGAATTTACATCTTTTATGACACTCGCAATTTGACAACTATGAGTACGTTAAGATTACATTAAAGAAAATTTTAATTCCCTCAATAGCTTAGATCGTATAGTATATAAATTTTATATAAAAATAAGAATTGAGCTAAAAATAAAAGGGTCTTGTTATGCTTTAAAAATCTATATAAAAAATGAAGTGAATAATGATATATGAAAACCTTAAAAAGTACGTTGCATCACCAAATCTACGTTAAAGCCATGCATAAATGAGTTGAACAAAAACATGATATTGAAATGTCACAAGTCAAAAAGAGGTCTGGTTTACAATCAATAAGCCTGTTGATTCTGTCAGGATTTTAAACCTTGCTAGAGAATCTTATGTATATCATTTATCTCTTTGCGTCCAGTTTGGCAAACAATATTTGTACTATACTATAAAGGGAACACCCATTTGGTGTCACCTTCCTTTTAAAGTATTGATTTCACCATTTGTATTATTTCATTATTTCCAAGTTTGAGGGTAAACAATATATTTCTGCCCTCTCTCCCCTAATTTTGACAAATTTATTACAAATGCCACAACTCCCCACTCATATATGTAAATACTCAGAGGTATTAAAGTGACAATCATGTGCATTGTGTGTGAATCACATATTGCCAACCAGAATGGTCATCATCCCATTGAGGCACACCATAAAATATTTTCATTTGTTGAAAATTGTTTCAG